GTGTTGTCATTTAGAAATACTGGCTTCGCTGGCTTGGACATGTGCTGCGAATGTCATCCTAGAGGCCTCCGTACAGTTCTCTGTTCTCCAGTCCTGTAAGGGGATGGAAAAAGTGGAGAGATAGTGAGCCCATGACGTGGCATCGTGGGATAAAGGATATTTATGTTGGGTTAGCATTGGTTCGCGCATCATAACTACCTGGTTGATGGGGTCCGAGAGATAGCTCCAATCGGTGGCTCGAAACGTTATTAAGTATCGCCAAGTATCGCGATCAATGACGAACGTGTTGCAATTTCCTTCTTTCTTTCCTTTCTGACGATAATTGACGAATGCTTTTTGAACTTGTCAAATATGACTGTTTTCCTTCCAGATGTATTTCTTTATCCGTTATCTACCTATATTTTTTTACTTTTAATCTATCCCGGCCGATAGCTGCTACCTTGACGTGGTGGTCGGGCTTGCATATCGCAATGACCCAACTAGCTACACTGGCTGGAACTTATGTTCCTGTAGGTCCTACCATGCCAGAAAGGTTGTTTGGATAGCGGTTAGACAAAAAGCAGCTACCCAATCCAATGCTATGACTCAAACAAAATCACAAAATATCATGCCGGATCGGTCGGGGCCCGGATTAACAACGACCGCGCTTCCTGCTGCCGTGTCACAGGGCAGAAGTGATAAATATGCTACTGAGACACACCAAATAAAAAAGAACAAACAAAAACAGGCCGCGTGTGACCGGCCTCAAGCAGTTGTCCCCTGGGCTCTGTGGTCACGCAACACTAACCTTTTCTCTATTTCAGGTACCCGAAGACTCAACCAACTTCCACGGTGTGGGCAGCCGGGAAGTAACAACCGCCCACACACTTCCAAAAGCACACGAAGCCTACCTGAGCATCACTCTCCCCTACTCACATCACCTTCCTCATCTTGCTTCTCTACTACAGCTAGCACTATTCTTCAGGCTAGTGAGTCATCTTCACTTCACTCTGCGTCCACAAACAACGATGAGAGCCATAGAAACAACCCAGATAGCCTTTTAAAGCCACGTCGCCAACTTCATATAGGAGCTTTTAACGTCAGGACCCTCTGCCAAATCGGACAACAGGCATCACTAGCAAGAACCCTGGAATCTAGAGCCATGGATGTATGTTGTGTTTCGGAGACACGCATACAAGACCCGAGTGTGGTCATTCACTTGACCTCACCCGGTCAACAAGGTGAATCTGCAAAATTCACTTTAAGGGTGTCGGGAGACCCCTCAGCTAGCTCACGAGGACTCGCAGGTGTAGGGATAGCACTGAGTGTTAGGGCGGAAAAATCACTCCTTGACTGGATCCCAGTAGATAGTCGTATGTGCGCGGTCCGTCTGAACGGGTCCGTTAAAAGAAGGAAAGACGGCGCTACCCGTCGTTGCCTTTTCGTAGTCTCCGCTTACGCCCCAACAGATTGCAGTTCGGATGAATTAAAAGATGACTTCTACCGGAAACTGTCTAATTTGCTGCAAAAAGCAAAACGTTCAGACATAGTTGTTTTAGCAGGCGACTTCAATGCCCAAGTAGGGAAGTTGTGCCAGACTGAGAAGTATGTAGGTGGTACGTATGGAGTTCCCTGCCGACGAACCGACAACGGTGATCGTCTTCTTCAGTTTTGCTCAGATAATCATCTGTTCCTAGTCAGCACTAACTTTAGTCACAAAGAAAGACATTGTGTAACCTGGCGACCTCCATCACCAAATCAACGCTGGACTCAGATAGACCACATAGCCATAGGGTATCGTTGGCGAGGGTCAGTAGAAGACTGTCGCTCCTTCTGGAACACGTGCGTAGACTCTGATCACGCTCTGGTTCGCGCACGTTTATGCTTACGACTAAATGGACATAAGAAATTGACGGCAGCGAAACAGTTACGTCCCCAATTAGATCGTGACACTGAGTCCTTATTTAAGGAAGAAATAGCGAAACTAGTTTCTGAGGTCGACAGCAGGACTTCCCCAGAGGTAGCCTGGCACAACATACAGTTAGCTGTGGACACAGCCGTGAAAGCTGTCAATAAGCTAAAACCTAAAGTTAGTAAAAGCCATTGGATCTCTACCGCCTCATCCGAACTGATTGACGCAAGAAGACTGATTCCAGCGAGCTCCGATTATGATGAGGAGCGAAAGGTACTTAAACGAAGACTAACAAAAAGTCTTCGCAAGGACCGTGAACAGTGGTGGGCGACAAAAGCGAAAGAGATGGAAAGGCATCGACGATTGGCAACACCAGACAACTATTCAGGCTTATCAGGGAAACAGGTGGCAAAAGGCAAATGATAAGCGAAACAATCTCGGAGAAAAATGGCACCATAATTAGCTCCCAGGATAGACGACTGGAGCGCTGGAAAGAACACTATGAGGAGCAGTTTAATTGGCCTACAGCCACACTTAACCTGCCGAACATCCAACACCTCCCTGAATGGGATATAGACACAGGTCCTCCGTCCTTAACTGAGGTTACTAAAGCTGCCACTAATCTGAAGCAAGGCAAAGCAGCGGGACCTGATGGAATGACTCCAGAGGTATTTAAGTACGGTGGAGACAGTTTACTGTCTGCGTTAACTGAGGTTCTAGGCAGCGTCTGGGAATCAGAGGAAGTCCCATCGGGTTGGTGTAAGTCACTGATCATCCCGATATACAAGAAGGGAGACAAGTCTTCTTGTGATAATCACAGAGGGATTAGCTTGACTAATACAGTATCTAAAATCCTAGGCTCAATAATACTGCGTAGACTAAGTGGTTCTCGGGAGAAAACCAGGCAGGTTTTAGGCCAGGTAGAGGGTGTATTGATCATATCTTCACCCTTCGACAGATTCTAGAACATAGGCATTCCTACCGGCGTCCGACAATCACTATATTTCTTGACCTAAAGGCGGCATTCGATTCTGTCGACCGAGAGGTTCTCTGGCGATGCTTGGCTGTAAAGGGAATGCCGAGAAAATACATTGCACTGATCAAGGCACTCTACTCGTACTCATGCAGCCAGGTGAGGGCTTACGGCGAGTTGTCATCTGAAGTGGTGACGACTAGTGGCGTCCGTCAAGGATGCCCATTATCCCCATTCCTATTCAACTTCATCATAGACGTACTAATGGACTTAACCCTAACACACTTCAGCGACTCAGGGATTGACTTGCTACCAGGGAATAATCTCGTCGACGATATAGTCCTTCTAGGCGAGGACGCTGACAAAATGCAGAGTCTACTGAACACCTTGAGCAACAATCTTCGTATGTTTGGCATGCGATTCGCCCCTGTAAAATATAAGATGATGCTGCAGGATTGGACTTCACCGACCCCTAGATTAGAAATAGGAAGTGAAGTGGTAGAGCACGTTGACCGCTTCACTTACTTGGGAAGTACCATCAGCCCCAACGGGTTGATCTCCGACGAAATCTCAGCACGAATACAGAGGGCTAGTTTCGCATATGCCAGTTTACGCCGTCTCTGGCGTAGACGTGATATCCGACTATCGACCAAAGGGCGTGTGTACTGCTCAACAGTCCGCTCCGTCCTCCTTTATGGCTGTGAAACCTGGCCATTGAGAGCAGAAGACATGAAAAGATTAGCTGTCTTCGATCATAGGTGTCTGCGTTCTATCTCCCGCGTGAAGTGGTATAATAAGGTGAGCAATATTGAGGTTAGGCGTCGAGTGCTAGGTAAGGCGGGAAAATCAATCGACGAGACTGTGAAATTACATCGACTGAGATGGTTAGGACATGTGCTACGTATGCCTAGTCATCGCCTTCCTCGACGGGCAATGTTAGCTGATATAGGGTCAGGCTGGAAAAGAGCTAGCGGCGGTCAAACCAAAACATGGCACCAGTCAATGAAATCTACAACAGTTAGTCTAAGCCACATAGGAAGGTGTAGACTTCCTCTGGTTGGGGTCCTCGGGACGGTAAAAACCAATGGTTGGAAACAATTGGTGACATGGCTCAAAATCGTTCTCAGTGGCGCAGATGCATCCACTCCTTGTGACTTATGATTTCCAATTAAACTGTTTTGTTCTTCGTTATTACTATACCTTTGTCTCACACCTCTGTTTACTGTCTATATTATGCATTTCTTCTACTTTCTTCTCTTGCTTTGTGTGCTACAAGGAGGGAGTGTGGCGACTTGAACTGCCGCACATATGTGCAAAGTTCTATGTCGAAAACCGACCGACCGATCGACTTTTAATCTATGTTTTATTATTATTATTGTGTGGCACATCTTCTTGATGGCATATTGCACTAAGTTTATTTGTTTAAATAACAAAAATAAAATATTCTACGAGACAATTAGCAACATTCTGCTATTCATTACTTTGCTAGGATCATTAATTTCCTCTGATGATTGAGTAATTATAATAAATCCAGACAGTAATTACTTTGCAATATGACAGTGAAAGAAATTAATGCATAATACAAAACTGAACACTATTGACACATTACGATCTATGTCAAATACAGTAGTATGGAAACAAGATAAAAAAAATTAGTAAAGGTCAAGGAAATTAAGTTAGAGCGGCGAGACGGCTATTGCAATGAAAGGTACATTTCATGCTTATAAACACTGATGACTGATTCGGTGTAATTTGTTTTGTCTTTGTACAGTACCGTGACACCTTATGCATACTACGGGATCGTATAAAAGTTCAGCTATCCACAATCATGATAAACACTTTATTCTATTAATATCTCACAGTGTTGTGAAGTATTTTTTTCGCATTTTCGCTGTGTATCGTGCCCCGAGTTTCAGACTCGTGGGAGTAGAAGTATGACATTGTTATAAGTACGCGAGTCCTGTGTATTGCTGCTCAGTTGTTTAAATTATACCTGCATGTTACATGGTTCTCTTTTTCCGTTCATAAATTTACTTTCTATGGATTTGTAAGCTAGTTGTTGCCTTTGTTTGTTTTCTCGTTAATACCAAAACTGTCATATCTTTTCTTTTCTTACTGGATTTTTTTATTATATAGGGTAGTATTCCTATTGGTGCAGCAAATCAAGCACTTGGAAAATATTTACTGCAGTATTCTTCTTATTTATCCACTATGCCTGTACGTTGTACAAAGTGTCTTTCAATTAAGCCACTACGTGCTCATCACTGCCGGTAAGTAAACGTTTCTGTTGTATTATATACACTAACAATTTTAACCAAATTGGCTTATTTTGATTGGTTCATGAAAGCAATAATAGAAATTAAGAGTATTATATTCGTTTAAAAGTACAATAAATTTTACTGTGAAATTTTCTAGTCAGTAGAGTATAAAGATTTCTGTTGAAGTAGTCTGCTTAATCATTTCCGTAAAATGTAGTTACAAGGTAACACAGAATTGTCCTTCAACTTCATTATTTGGTTGTCACACACACACACACACACAAAGTCACGTAGAGCTGTTCATAGACGCTAATTAGTTTAAATGATCATACGTGAAAAGTGCACATGTAAAATAAAAGAACAGAAATGCAAGACAATACAATGGACAAGATGTGTTTGTAAAAGAATAATTCAATAAAAAAAGTGCTGAAGATTTTTTTAAATGTTGAAGATGATAAAAGATGAATGTATGCGTGCACTATTTGAAGCCACATTAACAACAGTTCCCGTGCATTGATTCCCAGTTTTCATGATACACAAACAGTTTAAACCTTTCAAACCAATAGTCAGTGGCTTCATAGATTAATGACATGTTGTAGAATGACCACCACTAATTTTTTTCCAACTTAATTCGAATTCAGTTAACAATGCTCGTCGATGGAGGCTGCAAATCAGTATGTGTTACCTAACGGCACAGATAATCACTCTGTCGATTCATGTATGCTCGGAAATCTGTAATCGTTACGTGCCTTCTTTTAGCAGCCATATCTTACTCAAGTAAAGTGGGGGACAATGAACTACTGTTATTAACTGTGATAAAATGATAAATTCATATCAGAAATAACTCTGGTTTAGCTCCTTAGTGGTCTAAATTGGCATATTTAGCATATATATGTATGTATATATCATTGTCGCACAAATTACTGGTTTATGATTCTGGTGTACCGCTTCTGTCAACAATTTATTGTTTTTAATGTCCCATAACAGTGACTGTTGCTTCTTTTCAAAGTCGTTGATAGAGATTATCATTGATATTCTCTGACTGATATGATTTATCTCGGTGATTAAACTTCAAGTATGATTCAAGGTTATATTGCTACTTTTACACATCCCAGGCAACAAATTACTTTAGTATATGTGTAAAACTTGGGCACTGTGGCGGTAAGTAGTTCCATACTAGTTTGTTTATTAGACGTATCACACAGTGAAACAGTATTATTTACTGGATGGCGTTTCGAACAAAATTTATTGTTCATAATCATATCAACTATAATCAGACGACTTCGAAACTTGAGTTTTATATTATTCTTTGTTCTCTCCTATTTGTTGTAGGGGTAGTAGAATTCTCCAGATATCTGGGACAGGAGTTGAATCATTCCTATTACACGTGTTTGCAGTTGATTCGGTAAATCCGAATAAGATAAGAAATCAAGAGAATATTTAATTCAATTTTAGATTTTCCCGTCGATTGATTGGACCGGAGTGCTCGGTCTCAGGTTGACATGTCACATTCATCTGACGAGTCTTAAATGGGACGAAATGCGCATCCTGGATTCCACTGGTAGTTACCATCCACCAACTGATCTAGAGAATAGTTCAGCTATAGACAACACTACATGCAATTTCACACAACTATACAATAGGATAGGATAAGATGACAGTTTTAAAATCTAATGTAACAGTGTGGAGGAAGAGATTGATAACAGAAGCTTTGTTTATCGAATCAACTACAAATACGTGTAATGGGAATGATTCAACACCTGTCCCAGATATCTGGAAAATTCTACCACCACTAAGACGACAAATAGGAGAGAACAAAGAAAACTATAAAACTCAAGTTTCGAAGTCGTGTGATTGTAACTGATATGTTTATGAGGGATAAATTGTTCTAAACGCTATCCAGTAAATAATACTGTTTCACTGTGTGGTACGTCTAATAAACAAACTAATATGAAACTATTTTAGCTTTAGTTAGCGCAGTAAGAGTTCACAAGCAGGTAGATTGCTCTAGGACCTGTTTTCTAAATGTGGATATAGCCCTCTAAAAGTCACATTTATTTCGTATTGTCAACATTTTGCAATTTTTTAAAAATCTGACTACATCTGGGTGTATATTTCATCACAGCCTTTGAGAAACCATTCAGGTTTTTTAAAGTTTGCCTTGTGATAACTTCATGATTTGAAAGTGCATTTTCCATTCCATTTGGAAACTTTGAACTTTTTTGTCACTTTTATTTGAGATCTAGTGTTTCAAATGGATTACTTGACTTGTAAACAACAACAAGTACAGGAGACTCATTGTGGGATAATACAATTTAGCGATGGTAATGTACATATGTGCTAATCAGTGTATTAGGACTTCTTATGCTTTTCCATTGCCTAGGCTGGAGTAAGCGGATTAAGATTCTAACTAGGGACTTATTGTTTCGAAGTTAAATGTCTAGTTGAGGGAGCTGAACTTCACTTATAGCTGATGAAATAAACAACAAATGTTTGTTCCTAGCTATCGGTCAACTAATCGGTTATAGTGATATACACAAGAATATTATTGATGCTTTGTCACTTACGTGTATTTTGCAGAGAAGTGATGTGAGGCATTATATTACATGACATCTTTTTTTATAACTATCCAACACAAAGCACTTTTTCATGGAGCAATAGATTTTAAGCACCGAAGGACTTGAGTACCTATAGATCGTATGCATAAAACATGAATTTAACGATTAGTTAAAGTCAAAATAAACATGTAAGCATGATTTTTGGGTTCAATGTATCTATTTCAGAATTTGTTTTGTAACACCAATGATGATCTATTATTGCAATAGATCTAACTTTTCATAAAAGTACAGTAACTATAGCCGTTGAGGTGAATTTTAAATTCGCCTTCATTTTATGAATAAGTTGTAGATTGTAAGTTCAAGCTCCACGTCATTTAGTGAACCTTTGTTAGTTAAATGCTCTAAGAAGCCTTTAGGTAAGCAAGTATTTGATGGTACTGTTTACTGATTGTTCTTATTTTTCCGTCGTTCACATGATATTCTTTTGACACGTTCATATTGTTTTTGAATCAATCTATCTGTGTGACTAGCTAATTTATTGTATTTACCATTTAGAGAAATATTTTCACGTCTAGTCCAATTTTCATCTTGAAAAGCATCGTCACTAACTTCATTTTATAGTTACACCGGGTTTCCGTGTTGTGACATTATAAACATGCTGAAGCGTGATTCATTTCATTTGTTTCTATTGTTTTCAGTAATTGTAAAATTTAGTTTATGTTTAAATGCTCTTATTAACTGGATCAAACTTCACTTTTGCGCCTATATATTGTATTTGTGCTGATTTATCTTCACATAAGTGGCTATTTTACATTGTGTCGTAAGGATTATTCTATCTGCAATACAATGCCTCATTTCTGTGACCTTAACAATTTTGTTAACTGCCTAACTTGAGATAGACCCTGTTTGTTGATGAACTAGTCCACTTAAGTATGCTGATAATAATGACGAAAGTGACAATTTCAACTAGTGTACTTCTGTACAAACTTTAACATTGATCTCCTCCTGCTAGACATGTGGTAAGGAACAACGTATTAAACATTTTTGGACCTAGACTTAGAGTTTTGGATAAGAAAGGTAGTCAATCGCTGAAGTGGTGAAACGTCATTGACTGAGGTCCCTACAAGCAGCACATTTATAGATAAAAAACAGAAAGTGCCATATTTTTATTCAGAACAATATGACAGTATTTCGTAGGACAGTTATATATATATATATATATATATATATATCATACACACGCTAATTTGGACCACTAAGCAGTTAAACCAGATTCATTTCTAATATTATTTATTTGTCATTCTAGTATAACATATGTTACTGAAAGGCTGTGCCAATCAATAACAGTAGTTCATTATATCTCATTTTACTTGAGTGAGATATGGCTTCCGAAAGAAAAAGTTATGAAAAGGTCAGAGATTTTTGAATATCCACTAATCAACAAGATAAGTAACAACATCATCAGCTGTGGTATTAGGTAATAAAGGAAATTCAATTTTTAACTATTATATTTGCCAATAAATTCATTGTATCTGATAAAATCCGAACTGAATATAATCTGACTAAAGTAATGTTTATAAGGTAGTAATTAGATTATAAGGAAAAAAATCTTTAGCGAAGATGTTTAGTTTAACACTGGTTGATTAGTTATTTTCTGATATGGGATATAAAACTTTTCATGGGAAAAATAAAGCGACCGAAATGAGCAATACATGTCCAGTAGTCATATTGACGAGCTTTCATATTTTCTGTCCTCTTGTTCCTTCTTCCCTCTCTGTTTCTCTCTATCTTCACCTTTACAGAGGTATTTAAGTAAAAAAACTAATCTACTGCTCAGCGCTGAAGTAGATTTATGGGGGTTATCTTAAGATCTAGTGTGTTGATAGAACTAAACGGTATAATCCTACAAAGTACTTCACTGGGAGTTCAATACTTATAAATAAGCTGCGCCTAGTTGGTTTGAAAATCTTAAACGAAGTTTTCAGTGTGAGACAGTCATTTCACTGGACCACTTTGTTATGGTGATCTATTTACCTTCCATTAATATTGAGATATTACAGCATAGTAAGTGATTCGTGTAGATACCTCAGCTCTACACTAAGACAGTAATTTTTCAGACAGTATAGCTGAACAACATGTTCAAATTCCTAAATAGAATTAAAGCCTTTGATTGGACACTAGAAACTAGTGTGATGTATCTAGTCCTTTCTTTGGTGTCAACTGAATTCTGTCAGTCAGGTTTGCAATGTGGCCACCATTCTAGGTACTTATTTGGGAATTATGTCTTTTCTGTTTGATTATAGATATGATACATTGACGTATTTTTTGTTGTACTTCCTCATTTAATTTTGAGTGATGATTCTAAGGAGGCACAGAAATCTGTTATTGAAGCGTCACCAGTATTGTAATTCAGTCTTTTCTATGATGGTTGTTTCGATAGATTTACTACGTAAT